GAAAATAAAGGAAATTTATTACCTGTATATGGTACGGTAGTACGGTAGTTGTCAACACAAACCAGACAAACTGTGAATCCTACAGTATCAAGAATTTACTCATTTATTCAATGACAATCATGTCATCATCTTCTGGAACATCATTAGAACAATCCAATTCCTGAATTTCCTGGTGAATTTCTTGTGACTCCATTTCTTTCAGAATCAGTGGACCAAATCTCTCATGTTTAGCCTAGGGGGGCCTTATTTTCAGGGGATGCCTTATATTTCACTCAGAAGGAAACTTGTAAGTAGGTCTTATTTCGGAGGATGTTTTATTTTCGAGGAAACACGATAGAAAGATGTAAAAGGTTGACCAACTGTGAAGCTCTGAAAGGTCAGACAAAGGTAACTGAAGCAACTTTCCCCATCCTGTAATCATGTAAATCCTAATTGATATGGTAATCCGCTTATTACCTGCCTAAGGGCTATGAGTGTATCCCAAATCTGCTTAAAGATAGTGGGTGTATCCCATAGTCACAATAAAAGGGATGGCAGGGCCAGAGCCTAGCGATAGTCCTCCCCCTGAGGTGGACCCCCACCTGGCCCTCCATTTTTCCTCAATTAACTCTTCTCCAGTCTCTTTTCAGTTGTGTGCGGCCTTCTTCTGAAGGGGAATCCTGAACCACGAGGGACGTGACAAGGGATCCCACAGGCTCCAATATCTTAAAAAAGACCTCTGGTTTTAAACTAACCATCATTAAAGTACCTTCAGGCAAAACTCTCCAGGAGACCATATCCTTGGGGATGCTTAATAAAAGGCTTCTTTACTGTTCCCTAGAAACAGCTACATTGGAAATAAATAAAAACTAGTCTTAAGAGAACAAATCCCTTGTGAGGTTAGCTTTTATAAATTCAAAAGTTCAGACTTTGGAGCAACTGTTATCTTTCCTAAACTGGTCTGCAAACGAGGTACTCATACCATATAACTTTCCAAGATGGTTTTCAGGGAATCAATTACCATAGTCCTCTTTTTCCTAAAACTTACCCACCTAAGAAAGTGCCTGTTTCTCTCCCTTTACAAAGGTAACACTTACTCTGAATTTATCCTAAATCTTTTATAATACATTGCCCTGAGATGTAAAAATCTCAGGTGCTAAAGGGAAAAATACCCCCTTCCTTAATTATTAGTCAAAGCATCCTAAATCTATGGACTTTCTTTGACCTTGGCATACATGTTTCAGTTAAAGATGAAAGCTTACAAATAGGGTTGGTTTTTACTGGAATATTCTTAATTCAGAAATATTGAAAAATGAATGCATTAGTAATTCTGAAAGATAAAATTTATGAACAATAAATTCATATCTATCAACAAGTGAATCTAAAAACCAAGTGAATTAAAAATCTGATAAACAGAATAAACTGGTGAATATAATAGAATCAGGGGTATAGAAAGGGAGTGGACTGACAATTCTGGGGGGGGGGGAAGGAGTAGTATGGGGATGCGGGAAGAGACTGGACAAAAATCGTACACCTATGGATGAGAACAGTGGGGGGTGGGGGAGTAAGGGCAGAGGATGGGGTGGGAACCAGGTGAGGGGAGCTATGGGGGGAAAAAAAGAGGAACAATTGTAATAATCTGAACAATAGATTTTTTTTTTAAAGAACAAGTAGAATGTTTTCTAGGACTACAAAAATTTTTAAAGTTAGATAAAACTCATAAAAATTCTACATGATTTATTACATAAAAGAGAAAAAGGGAAAACGTAATCTTTCCAAATGCTAAAGAAGGGCTCATCTGGGTATTTTTTTAAAAAGGATAAAGTTAGGTATCATTCCAGTGGCTATCGAGAATAATCCATAAAAGTCAATATATTGAAAATTACATAACTGCCACTATTTAAGCTTTTCATGAAAAATTTAGATGTCAATCTGAAAAATGTCTAAGTAGTTAGAGTTTTATTTCCAAAAAAATTTTAGGAGCAAAAATTTGAAACTTCTCTTCTAAAAAAACAGTAATAATGCCGAGGTCTTTGAAAGAATAACTAAGCAAGGGCACCTTTGAAGATGTGACCAAAAAAACTTATTTCTTTTAAGTAGTACTGTTTTAGGAAGTTGTATCAGACCAATAACCATTACAAGAGGCATCATTCACGCAAACTACAACTTGTACAACATAGAGGGTAGCCCTGACTCACACAATTATATGTGTACCCCAGACCTACTCAAAGGCACAGAGGACACTAAGAAGCCAATCTCCTACTTGGAATATTAACAGCTACAATTCCAGTATCTCCAGTATTATCTTTTTCTGTTACTTATTCTAACAAGGAGCATATCTTAGGTAAATCAAGAGTTTAAAAGCCAACAACAACAAATTTTATAGAAATAGCACAGGACAAAAGGTATGAATTAAAAATCTTACATTCTGCTACTTACTAATTTATAATTTGGATAGGTTATGTAATTTTTTTGTGAATCACACTTTTCTCATCTGTAAAACATATAATCTACCTCATAGGATTGACATGGGGATTAAGTAATAAATATAAAATATCTGGCATATTAATAAGTGCTCAATAAGCTCATTCTCTTTTCAAATCTACTTAATAAGAAAAATAATTATGATTATTTTGTGAAAAAGTGGCATATGATACAGTAAGATAATACCTGTATTTAAAAAGTAAAATGGTCGCCGAAACCGGTTTGGCTCAGTGGATAGAGCATCGGCCTGTGGATTGAAAGGTCCCGGGTTCAATTCCGGTCAAGGGCATGTGCCTTGGTTGCGGGCACATCCCCAGTAGGGGGTGTGCAAGAGCAGCTGATAGATGATTCTCTCTCATCGATGTTTCTAACTATCCCTCTCTCTTCCTCTCTGTAAAAAATCAATAAAATATATTTTTAAAAAATTAAATAAATAAAATAAAAAGTAAAATGGTCAAAAAGAAATTATAAAAGGGAAAAAAATAGCAGAGGATGCCCTAGTGTGCTTGGCTCAGTGGACAGAGTGTTGGCCCAAGGACTGAAGGGTACCTATTCGATTCTGGTCAAGGGCACATACCTGGGTTGCAGGCTAAAACTCCATCCCTAGTTGGAGCATGTGTTAGAGGCAACCAATCGATGTCTCTCTCTCATATCGATGTTTCTGTCTGTCTCCCACTATCTTTAAAAATAAGTAAATAAATAAATGGAAAAAATATTCTCAGGTGAGGATTAATAACAACAACAAAATGGAGTGGATCATCAATGCAGATGAAAGACACAAAAAGACACCATTCGTTCAGTTAGGGCTTGAATCTACCCTTACTCATGACAAGCAACTTTCCTATCAGCCTTTCACTTATAAGTGAAACACTTATAAGGCAAACACTTATAAAAACTAGATTCTGCTCTGGCCAATTGATTAGGGGTTAGAGCACTGGCCCATAGATGAAAGGATTTCAAGTTCGATTCCAGGGAAAAGGGCATATACCTCGGTTGTGGGTTTGATGGAGGCAAACAATTGATGTGTCTCTCTTATATCGATATTTCTCTCTTTCTTCCCCCACTTCTTCCCTTCCTTCCACTCTATCTGAAAATCAATGTGGGGAAAAAAAATCCTTGGGTGAGGATTAAAAAGAAACACAACTAGATTCTATTCCCAATATACCCACTGGCCAGTTGGGAATCAATGGACACTCATTAGTGCTGGAATTGGTTTTCCTATAATACCAAATAAGAAAATTTATAATATACCAGAAGGCAGATTCTTGCAAGAATGGGCCTTCCTTTCCCTGGTTGCTAGCACCAACTTTCTGCTCCAGCCCTGGAACCAACTCTTTCTGCTCAGGCCCGGCCTTCCCACACTGCCCCGAGGCCCTGAGCAGCTGGGGTGATGCCAAACACCAAGGCAATGAGGCAAATGTCCCCCTGCCTGCGGCCATCTTTGTTGGGCTAATTTGCATACTCACTCCTGATTGGCCGTTGGGTGTCGCAAAGGTAGGGTCAATTTGCATCTTTCTTTTACATTAGTGTAGATAATCTGATCAAATGATTGAAAGGCTTCTATACATTACATAAATACTCAACATATATTAGTACAGACAGTGAAATCAGCCTAAGGATATATGATACTTTTTCTAAGTTTCAGAACATAAGAGAAAATTGTTCATATTCAAAATCAGGAGTTAATCATTACATAGTGATATAGTCCCTAAAATGTTACCAATGGTTGCTCTAGAAATATATATATGTAAATTGTGGATTTCAAAAAAAATAGATCAGTTAACTCTTATCAAATGAAAAATACAGTACAATAATCTGAACCAAAAGTAGATTTGGAATTTTAGTCAGACAGGAAATAATCATGAATACTGCCAAAAGAAAAGATAATGTGGGAAAAGAGGGTCAAAATAATATAATTTAGTGCCCTGTCATATACTTAACACATGGAGAATATTAAACAAGCCAAGACACAAACTATACTGTTTTGTCAATGCTGGGAATGTGGGGTACAATTTCATTTTCACCCCTCTCATTCTCAAAATTAGGTCAAAAGCTACTTTCCATAATAGTAATGACAAAGCACAGAAATCATTATATAGGATATGGAAATACACTACATAAGGAAATCTTGAGCACTTTATTATGAAAGAAACTATAATAACCTTTAAAAAGTAGGAAATAAATTTCCCACAATAGAGGAATGGATTAGTAAATTATAATACACTGATACAATGAATTATTAGCCAGGAAATGACTATAAAGACTACATACATAAATGAAGAACTATAAATAACTTAGTAAATGTAAAAGCAAAATACAAAATAGTATTTAAACTGATTGTAATTATACAAAATATAAATCCATAGAGACTAAACATTAATATATGAAAAAGAAAACAGTTGTGTTGGAATTGAGATTATAAATTAATTTTTTAACATTTTCAAGAAATTGTGGTTATCCAGTTTGACTACCTATTTTAATCAGTATGTGTGTATGTATGTGTGCTACATATATAGTATAATGAATTTCTCCAGTACCTTTCTGTTGTAACAGCTCTGATGGCTGTGTAACTGAGGCCACAGGTTCAACGAGGTGATTTGCAGTAGGAGGTAATCTTGCTGACGAGGCTCCAGACACAGCAGTGGATACCACTGGGTTGGACTTGGGAGGCTGAACATTTTGAGTAACAGGACAGGATAAAGAATCTGCAACTGAAGAAAAGACTCTATTTCATCCACAACAATAAAACTTGAAATATATTAAAACACTAAAAAAAGTACTTTATTTGAAGTTCTTACAGAAACTTCAGTAGCATTGCATTTATCTTGTATATTTAGAAAATAAAGTAGTTCAAAGAAATTAAAAAAACAAAAACACCTTAAAACGTCATCATCAAATGTTTTAATAATCTTTAATAAAAAATTTCCTAATTCATTTACCTTCTTAAAAAAAGTAAATCCAAAACAGTTTTTCTTTACTAATAAATGATCAGTATTATTAATTACTGTACTATGCAATAGTATCTCAGGAAAATGAAAGGAAGTATTTGCTTCTGCAGTAAGCAATGTGGCTCATGAACTCCACTAATGTTCCTAGTACCAGCTCAGATCTTTTTGTATTATAAACTGTATCAGTGTAGTATAAACTCTTCTCATTTGCTGTTTCTAATCAGATGCCTCATTTCTAACTAAGGACCTGATAATAACACTAGGTTTGACTTCTAGAATAAAGTTCATGTGATTCACAGTGGGCCTTTGTTATCAGCTCAAATTGCCTGACCTAGAGGATACTCTTCAGCCAATCAAGAGATAACTAACAACCTAAGTGTCTCCTGATGGATAATCATACAAAGAAAATGTGATTATATATACTATAAATATATATACATGCACACTATATGGGTATATGTGTAAACATACAATAGATGAATAAACAAAATGTGGTATTCATATGGACACACACACATAGACACACACAAACGTGCACACATAGAGGGATATTATTCCAACTTTGTGTTTGAGTCACCTGCAGTTTTATTAAAATGTAGGTTCTGATTCTCCAAGTCTAGTATAGCCCGGCCTAAGATGCTACATTTTTATCAAGTTTGAGGGGTTGCTGGCCAGTAGACTACACTTTTGTATCCAATCATATAAACTTTTACATCCAACTCCCTGTGGGATCAGGCCTCAATAAGCAGTCAGAAATCCCTTTCACAATCTGGGACTGCTGACTCCCAACTGCTCATTTGCCTGCCTGCCTGCCTGACTGCCCCTAACCACTTCTGCCTGCCAGCCTGATCAACCCTTAACCACTCCCCTCTCAGCCTGATGATCCCCAATTGACAGCCCAGACTGTGCTATGAGGGGATTGCTCCATGGGGGTGTGGCCGCCTCCCAGGCTGAGACCCCAGGTGCAGGTGTGCATGTGGTGGATTACTCTGTGGGGAGTGAATTTGTTTTGAATAAAGGGTCAGAAGAACTTCAGGTCAGCCTTCCCTGGGACTTGGGGACTCCAGAGGGGCTGAGAGGACTGGGTGCCGCCATCTTGTGGCTAAGGGCGCCACCATTTTGTCACAGAGTGACAGTTAATTTGCATATCACTTTTATTAGATAGGATAAACAGAGGGAGACTGCCAAAATGAGGAAACAAAGAAACATGACCCAAATGAGAAAACAAAACTCCAGAAAAAGAACTAAACAAAATAAAGACAAGCAATCAACTAAATGCAGAGTTCAAAACATTGGCTCTAAGGATGCTCAATGAATTTAGTGAAATCTCAACAGCATAAAAAAAAGACCCGTCAGCCTGGTTGGTATGGCTCATTGGTTGAGTGTCAACCTATGAACCAAGAGGTCATAATTCACTTTCTGGTCAGGGCACATACCAGGGTTGCATGCTCCATTCCCAGTGGGGGACAGGCAGAAGATAGCCTATCAATGATTCCCTCTCATCATTTATGTTTCTATATCTCTCTCCCCTTCCCTTCCTCTTTGAAATCAATAATCCCATATAATAAAAGGTAATATGCAAATTGTCCTCTTAACCAGGTTCAACCGTGAGTTTGACTGCCTGCAGCCCCTATCCCCAGCCGGTCATGCCCCTGATCAGCCCCCACCCCAATTGGAGTCAGGGCTGGCCAGCCAACTGTCCGTGGCTCCTCCCTCTGGCTGGCCAAGCTCTTGTGTCCCCTCCCCGTGGCCAGCCTGGTCTGATTGGGGCGGGATGGCCAAGCCCCATCCATGCACAAATTTATGCACTGGGCCTCTAATGTATTAAAAAAAAGAAAGGCCAGTTAGAAATGAAGACTGCACTAATTGAAATGAAGAATAATTTACAGGGAATCAACAGTAGAGAAAATGAAGCTAAGAATCAAATGAGCGATTTGTAATATAAGGAAGCAAAAAACACCAAAAAGAATACCAAAAAGAAAAAGGAATAACATAAAAATGAGGATAGTGGAAGGAGCCTCTAGGACTAAGACAACTTCAAGAGTACCAACATTTGCATTATGAGCATGCCAGAAGCAGAAAACAAGCAACTGAGAACCTATTAAAAATATATAAAAGCGTAATATGCAAATTGTCCCCTCAGGAGTTCAACCAGGAGACCGGGAGTTTGATTGCTCGCTGTGACATGCGCTGACCACCAGGGGGCAGTGCAGAACGAAGGAAGGCCCAAGGTGGCGGCTGGAAAGCCCTGATCGCTGGCCAGGCCTAGGGACCCTACCGTGCCTGAATTTCATGCACTAGGCCTCTAGTTAAAAAATAATTACAGCCCTAGCCAGTTTGGCTCAGTGGATAGTGCGTTGGCCTGTGGACTGAAGTGTCCCAGGTTCAATTCATGTTGAGGGCACATGCCCGGTTGCAGGCTCAATCCCCAGCAGGGGGTGTGCAGAAGGCAGCCGATCAATGATTCTCTCTCATCATTGATATTTGTATCACTCTCCCTCTCCCTTCCTCTCTGAAATCAATAATATACACTGAGTGGCCAGATTATTATGATCTCTGAATGCATCATAATCTGGCCACTCATTGTATATCCTATATAATAAAAGGCTAATATGCAAATTATCCCCTCGACAAGGAGTTCGACCAGCAGGCAGGCCGGACCTCACCCATGCATGAATTCATGCACTGGGCCTCTTATATAAATATATACCGAGTGGCCAGATTATTAAGTGTTCAGAGATCATAATAATCTGGCCACTCAATGTGTGTGTGTGTGTGTGTGTGTGTGTGTATGAAAACATGGTTATTTAAAAGAAATAATAATGACAAAAAGACTTGCCTAATTTGGTGAAGCAAACAAAAATACAAGTCCAGAAAGGGCAGAGAGTACCAAACAGAACGAAACCAAAGAGGTCCACATCAAGGCACATCACAATTAAAATGCAAAAGGTTAAAGATAAAGAGAGAATCTTAAAAGCAGCAAGAGAAAAACAATTAATTACCTACAAGGAATCTCCAATTAAGACTATCAGCTGATTTCGCAACAAAAAATTTGCAGGCTAGAAAGGAGTGGCCAGAAATATTCAAAGACTACAACCAAGATTACTCAGTAAAACTATCATTTAGAATCAAAGGATAGATAAAGAGCTTACCAGAGGATAGTGTAAGGAGCTAACTGAGTATTATATGAAATGTTAAAGGATCTTCTTTAAGAAAAAAGAAGGAGAAAAAAAAAAAGCAAAAATTTGAATAATACAAAAAAAAAAAAAAAGGCTATGAGAACATAACCTTAATATTAATTGTGCTTAATTCTGGGTAAGTAGATTCTGGGTAAACTTTTTCTTTCTTAATAATTTTTCTCCAATTTTTAACTTTTCTTCCATTATGAATTCATTTATTAATTTTTAAAAGTATTTTAAAATACAGGAAATATAAATGTATGTATTCTGTATAAATCACAATTTATAAAAAATAACATTAACAGAACTATTAAAAACTATCAAAATGTTAACTTTTCTCAGGGTAGTGATACAATCGATGATTTATTCTCTTGCATTTGATAATCTGTATTTTCCAAAAATATGTTTACATTATCTTTATTATTTTCATAATGGAAAAGTTAATTTTTTAATAAAGTAACTAAAATTCTACCAGAAAACAAACAGTTCTTAATTAGAAATTCCCGGCCCTGAGCAGCCAGGCCCAGAACAGCTCACTCCTTGCCTGCCCCTGCCCCACGGCTGCTTCTCAGACATGGCTGGAAACTCTCGTGGGAACTTGAGGGTCTGCTGAATCAAGTGATGAAGGCTTAGATCTGGATGTGTTGAGTTAGTTTAGGACTGGGGTGTTGATCTGTGAGTGCCTTGGGTGGGGCCTGGATGAGGCTGGTGGACCTATTGGGAAAAGTCTTTTGTGTGAAGTGTATCATTGGGCATGTGGAGGTATTATTGATATGAGAAAATGCTAAGTAACTGATTTACTATCTGAAAAGGGATTTACTATCGGGGGAAAGGGAGGGAAGAAGAGACTGAACATAAACTGCACCTATGGATGAGGACAATGGGGGATGGAGAGGGGGCAGAGGGTGGGGTGGGAACCTGGTGGAGGGGGGAAGAAATGAGGAACCTTTGTAATAATATGAACAATAAAGATTGATTAAAAAAAAAAAAAAAAAAAGAAATCCTTCCCCACTCCAAGGTTCTGGAGGTAGTTTAAAGTGTTGCCTTTGCATTTCAATATTTACTTTACATCTTTACATGTAATTTATTTTATACATGGAGAATTCACCCTTCAAACTGCTGCTCAGGTATCAAATATCATGGGAAATTTTCTTAAGCTTCATGACTAGTAGGCCGGATGTACTTAAAGTACACTCGCTAAGCACCACAATATCTGTTTCACAATAAATAATAATAGCAATTTACACTCATTTGTATTTATTTGAATAATTTTTGTTTCCCCATAAAGATTTGCAAACTCCATGAGCATAAGGATCAAGTGTTTTTATTCACTATTTTATCTCCCAGCCAGCACTAAAACAATGCCTGTCATATAATTGGCTTTCTATATTTGCCAACTGAATGGTGAAAAGTTCTACAGACATCAAGAATCATAAATGCATGTTAGCCAAAAAAAATTGCCCTTTCAAAATAGAATTTGACAGGGGAAAAAAAGGTGTATAGAACTGGCACTATGAAAAATGAACTACCTATATTACTGTTAATGTATGGGATGTTTAGAGACAACTCGTGATTTAAGAAAAT